ATGACAGGACAACTGCAAAAATTAAGGATGAAGGGTCAAAAAACAGGAAATTGTGGAGAGCCATGATAGTTGACACACTTAATGAACATTTTTAGGGGTAAATTTAATCAATGATTTTTCATAACACTAATCAAGGTGAAGCGTGTTTGTTAATAAATTAATCTTAGAAACTGAATTGAGTAGGTAAGAAAAATAGAAAGATAAGACAAGGTTGTGTCTTCTCGCCGGATTTTTTCACCCTCTAAAGCAAGGATATCCGAAGAGATATGCAGATCCTACAGGGATTTATTATCGGTGTGTGCAATCGTAACTATATTAGATACACAGATGAAACTGTGTTGACCGCCAGTATAGAAGAAAAACATAAGGAGCTCCTAAACAAGGAAGAAAAGGAAAGCGAGAAGAAAGGACTAATCATCAATTGTAAGAAGAGAGAATGTATAGTTGCCATCAAAAGGAAAACTATGAATTGAAAATGTCAACATCAAACAGTTACAAAGATTTAAATACCTGGAAGAGTATGGAAAATGTGACACCATCATATGAACGGGCATTCGGATAGCAAAAGATGTCTTCTAAAAGCTAAGCAAAATAATAAGAAACACGAAAAGTTTGTTAGAAACAAAGATAAGATTGTTGAAATGTTTTGTAATATCAATCTTTCTATATTGTAGTTAACGCTTGACACTCTCCATGCAGATGAAGAAAAGATGGGAGACAGCAGAAATAGGGTTCTACAGAAAGATGCTAAGAGTGCACGGAACGTTTAGGCATGAAAAAGTCTTAAGGAAAATGGACGCAAAAAGGGACACATAGTCAGAATCAGAAAGGGAATGCTGACATTTCTGGGAGATCATAAGGAAGATGGACTTGCAGAATTTGACACTTACATGGTATATCGAACGACAGGGACGCTAGAGGGCAACCATGTTGTGCGAATGGATGGCGGGACGGTGCATTAGGTTTGCCAATGAGACAAAAGATGCTAATGGCTACAAGGGATAAGAGGTCGTGGAGAGCCTTGATCTCCCACACCCTGAAGAGACACGGCACATAGAAGAAGAAAAAGAAAAAGAACCTTCTTTCTTATATGCTATTTTGGTTAAACCATTTACTCTACCAAAGCTTCTGCAAGTATTTTTAACGTCTCCAGGTTTTGATTTTTGTTCTTGTTTTTTTTTTTTTTTCAACCTCGGGAAAAGTATAAGAAATGATTGTTAATGACTTTAAAATCAATAATCAATCAATTTCAGATAAAAGGATACATATATACACACAAAATGTATATTCAATTAATTTTTTTTTATTTTTATCATGAGTTTAACTGTCCAAAATAAATGCTTAGCGTTAATGAACGTTAAAGGAGTAAAAGCTGGTCCGGCCATGAAAAGAGTGATACGATTGAGGCCATCAGATAAGAAGAAGGTTTCCTTTTACGTTAAGGTGGGGAAATATCCCTGATAATCGATGAAGGTCGGAAAAAAAACTATCGCCAAATATAAAGGAAGAATTCAAAGAAGTCAAAGATAATTGAAAAAGAAAGACAGAATGAAATAAAAAACAAAGAATGGTAAATAAAAACACAAAACGAAAGGTAAATGAATAAAAGAATGGCAAATAAACAAAAGAAAGGTAAATAAAAAGTCAGAAACAAAAGTGAAAGAAGAAATGAAAGAAAGTAAAAATGGTAAATAAAAGAAAGATGAAGAAGCGTAAAAGAAAGAAAGAAAGAAAGAAGGAAAGAAAGAGGGAAGAAACGAAAAACGTTTGAAGAAACAGAAAGGAAGAAAGAATGTGTGAACAAACGAAACGAAGAGACTAAAAAAAGTAGGAAAGAAAGACCAAACTGAAAGAAAGCTTGAACAAACAGAAAAAAGAATGAAAAGGGGAACAAAGAGAAAGAGAGAAAGAACGAAAGTGTGAACCAATATAAAAAAAGAAAAACAAAGGAAGAAAGAAAAAAATGAAGAAAAAGAAAGAAAGTGTGAACAAATAGAAAGAAAGTTTAAATAAATGGAAAGGAAGAAAAAAGAAAAATAAAGAAAGAAAAAATAAAGAAAGCGTGGGAAAACGGAAAGAAAGAAACAAAAAATCTGTGCCCAAAAGAAAGAAAGCAAGAAAGAAAGAAAGAAAGAAAGAAAGAAAGAAAGTTTGAACAAACAGAGAGAAAAAGAATAAAACTGCGAACAAACTGAAAGAAAAAAGAAAGTGAATGAAAACAGTGAATTAAACTGCGAAGAAAGTGAAAGGAAGAAAGAAAAACAAAGTGCAAACAAAAACAAGAAAGAAAGAAGGAAGGAGGGAAAGAAAGAAAAAAAGAAAGAAAGAAAGAAAGAAAGATTTACTGTACGAGTGGATTTAAAAATATCAGCAAGAATAAATGGGAAATTTTCTGATTGAGGAAAGCTAAAGAGAATGTCGAAAATATCAAGGAGTAAGAGAAGTTAAGTGAAAAAGAAAAAAGACAAGAAGAAAAAATTAAAGAAAGAAGGATCGAACGAACGAATGAACGAACAAAGAAAGAAAGAAAGAAAAAAGGAAGGAAGGAAGGACTGAGTCAGTAAATGAAAAGAAACATTATGTTGCTATTTGTTGGAAGAGCCAAGCTTAGTTAATAAAGAATAAAAAGTTGCATTAATAAAGTTATTTGAAAAGCTTTGAAAGAGAGAAAGAAAGATGAAAAAAATATATATATATATATATATATATATATATATATATATATATATATATATATATATATATATATATATATATATATATATATATATATATATATATAAAACCTATAACCTATAGGCTATATAACCTATGTTGCTTCTGAGTTATTTTTCTCATCTTGAAATCAGAAGTCTTTGGATCGGACTCAGTTAAAATCCTCAGCTTTCTTACCCACGTTTTTACATTGGATCTTTTACCACATTAGACTGAACCGAGTAAATATTAAAAGACATTGGTACTCACTAAGTAATCGTGTGTGGTCTACTAGTAAAAGTGAGGAAATCTTCTTTTTTTTTTAATAATTTTTCTATATTATCATTCCTTAGTGGCCATCGTCAAGGTACAACTTTTACCAGAATTAAAAATGTTGATGCTTATTGTTTTACAAGCCGACGTCAGAAGGTTTTGTTCATAATATTGATCTAGCGTAAAATCAATACCTGACTTTTTATCTGGTTATCTGGACCTATGTGCAAGGACAATCTTTTTGGGCAAAAATCATTTAAATAAAGAACAAACGGATATATACATTTTTAATTAAAGAACAAAAATTTGCATAATAAAAAATGTATCTGTTTACTTGCATTATTTACATTATTCGAACTGTTATCATCATATCCATTGCCACAACAACAACGTTTCGGTCGTTGTACGCTCCGGCCTTCTTCAGGTAATTGGAATTTTGAATCGAACCCTTTATTTCGGCCTTGTGTCCCTGAAGACATCTGTGTAGGAATTTTTGAGACTTATAACCTAATGTCTCAGCAACATTTTTTTTGTGCTCATATTGCAATTTTTCTTATTATTATTTACATCTTTTTACCAGAGCTCATATTGCAATTTTTGTAGTTATTCATTAAATATGGCGATGAAGATGGGAATAACAATCCGAATAATGTAAATAATGTAAATAATCATAATACCTCATCTCAGAGAATGTATCTGTTTATTCTTCATTTAAGATAAGTATTTATTATTCTCTAACGCTTGGTCATGTGCTTTCGAAAAATATCCATCTTCAAAAGTTTTAAGGAAAAAGTTTTTAAAAGTTTTAAAAAATTATGAAAAACTAAAAAAAAAAAACTTTTAAATATACACATATTGATGTAAGGAAAGTTTCAAACGTAACATTTGTAAATAGTAGACGTGACAAATAACTCTGTAAAAAATCAGTGATAGATTTTATGAACCCCCTTCTAAAATGATTTAAAAATTCAATATTTTTCGATTCTAACAAATGCTGTGATATGAGGAAGGTTTAATGAATACGAAAAAATCTACAAAATTATTCCGCGAAAATATTTTTCCTACTTTTAACGAGTGGAACAGTTTATTTAATTAGTGTCAGGGCGTTATTTTAGAGCAAGTCACCAAGAAGTTTAAAAATCGAATATTGGCGCAATTCAGTCTTTCTACCTTATCTTCCTGAACGTAGGTTGCGTAACTTTAGAAAAAAAAAATCAAGCGAAAATAAATGAAAGAGAAAGGAAAGATTAAATAAAAGTAGACTTTTTAAAATGCAAAAAGAAGGAAGTGAAAAATGTCTGTTAAGATAGAAATAAAACAACTGGGCGTGGGAAATAGCAAAAGAAAAAAAAAAGAAAAGGAAGTCATGACCGGAAGTATAAAACAAAAAAGGCGCGAAAAATAGGGACAGCCTGAAAAACGAGGGACACTTAAATTCTTAATGAAGTAAATTTGACTGTTATTTTCCGTTTATTCCTTTTATCCCTATTATTCTTCGTGTTTGTTTTTTTTTTTTTTTAATTTCGCTTTTTGATTAGTCCTCGAAATCTCGCGTGAGTCACGAGATCGGCGATGTTAAAATAAATAAATAAATAAAAATGAAAAAAAGTCAAGCAATACCTGGCCTGTTTGTGACAACCAACACTTATCCGCATCATGTGAAAAAGAACTCATCGAATCTTGTTCACCTTTTCTTTTTCTTCTTTCATTTTTTTTTTTTTTTTTAACCCTGACGAAGTCAACTCTGACGCTTCTGTACTGGACTTGAATATTTTTTTAGTTTGATTTCGTTAATTAATTTTTTTTTTAAATTATCACAGCATAATTATTTCGAAACAAATTAATTTTTAATTATAGTTTTGTTAATATTTTCTTCTTTCATGTTCAATGAAAACGTCTTCTTCTAAATCGTTTTTTTTTTTTGTTATGTCATAGCCATAAGTCTATTTTTGTTTAATATGTTTCGATTCCGTTTGAAGTTATTTTCGATAATTTCCCCGTGTTTTTAATCAAGTAAAGCTTGATATCAGTGTCACACCATGTTGAAATGCCAATTCTCGTCCGATCACTGAGGTTAAGCAACGTTGAGTCTGGTCAGTACCTAGATGGGTGACTGCTTGCGAATGCCAAGTATTGTAACCTTGAATGTGCCGGTTGGGTGAGCGATAACGGCTCGGAATGAGAAATTGAGGAACCGAGTTCGAATACCTGTCGAGTTCGTTTTATTCACTTAAGCGCAAAGCGAAAGATATAAATCCATATCTTCTCTCCCCTAACTATGGGCTAAATAACATATTGAATCCTATAATATAGCCTTGGTTGGAAACTAATCTACGGCAGAAAGAAATGGCAGCCTACTGTGGGAATTCTTCTATCATGTCAATTATGAATCATGATCACCCAAGCATGAATCACACGGGACACCTAAGGAAAGAGATATTTATTTTGTTTTAATATAAAAATGAGGCACAAGGGCAAAACGGGTACTAGGGGAAGTCTGGTCTTCAATCTGTATCTTCTTAAACTTAGATAGAAACGATTACTGACCCAAACATACCACCGATTTCTTATACGAAAACAACACATTCTTACTCACCATTCTTACGACAGTCACCATAATACCTCAGAGTCTCTGTGTAGTCCTAACTAGTTCTCATATGTACAATTTTTCTTTGTGTGTGAGGAAATAAAATAACAACATATAAAAATGAAATCTCAGTGAATATTTACAATGAATATAATGGCACCTAAGGAAATATTTTCAGCAACTTTTCAATTATCTTAAATTCTCCATCATCACTCTAGTCTGCCAATCATAATTGTGCTAATTCATAACCATTGACAATCCCGATTTTCAACACATTTATATAGAAAAATCATTAGCAATGCATTTTGCATATAATAGACCATATCGGTAATGCTTGCATAAATTCATGACCACAGACAATCCTTCGTCTCGATTTACATTTCTATAGAATTTACAATGCATTTACATTATCTCTCTCTCTCTCTCTCTCTCTCTCTCTCTCTCTCTCTCTCTATATATATATATATATATATATATATATATATATATATATATATATATATATATAAAAGTCCTTTACAGTTAATGATGTTTATTTTACTTTTGAACACCGATAATCCCTTTCGTTATAATTTGAAATGAATTTCTATAATAAATCCTTTAAAGTGTTTATATATTATACATCAAATAATTTTATTCTGTCTGTTGTTTCCAATCTATACCTGGAATGACTGAAAAATACTTGCCCCTCCCCCATTTTATAGGCAGAAGCACACAAATGAATGCTGGGATTTCTTCCTAGCCAATAAAATAGGCTGGTTCTCGATTTCATCTGACTCAGTCCCGATCTTCCTCGTCTTATTGATTTGTCCGAACTTGCTTTTGTATGGGCGACAATTTTACTTTGTGAACATTTTGCCATATTATTGTTGCTTTGACTTATTGCTGTTCATTTGCCTTGGATATATTGTTTGCTTGCCTTAAATTATTTTTTGGTTGCCTTTACTTCTTCTTGCTATTGCTTATTTGCAAACTTTGTAAATTCTGTTATTTATTTTGAATTTGACCGTGGCTACTTACTCCACACTGTCGTTAATTAATTAATTAATTAATTAATAACAGTTTCTTTCTGGGTTTTAGTATACGACCTTCAGATTGATTTTTGGCAAATGCCACAAGAACATTTTGGTTCAAAACTGCAAGGTGCAATATTCGATGGCGAAATCATTTGACCAATAAATCAGCCACTATTTAAATGAGGTGAATAGTGATGCATTAGTGGAACAGCCAATGGGCAACGAGAAATAAAACCAAAATCTTTTCTCTATATACAGCATTCTTTCTTTCTTTTTTAATAATTTCACCCCAATCAAGGCGGCAATGCCACTGGCCCGCAGGGGCCTATAGGGAGTGATAGTGAAATAGGGGGATTTAGGAAAAGGCAAAAAAAAGATGAACGCGATTCAAAAAGATAATTGGCGACTGACGTCGCATTTAAATTTTTGAAGATTCTAGTTATCAGGGAAGTATTGTAAACGGAAGGAATTTCTACTTCCACAGGCGAGGAAGTGCGGGAAGTGGCGGTTGCATTCAGCTATTTTAACAGTAAACTGATGGGACCTAGATGCCAAATAAATTCATGTAGACCAGGCACCAGGGTAAAAGGATCGTCAGAGCAATTGCCATGAAATTATTTGTAGAAATTGAAATGTTCTCCATATATATTAGCGCTTTTATCGGTAACAATGAATTTCCAGTTCCAGGATGACCTGTAGAAAAGATTTCAGGACACGTATGTGTAACGTAGCTTCCTGGTGCCTTTTCTATATTTTCATGATAATTCTTCCGGTGAACTTTTTTTAAATGTTGTTATTTTTCACCTGCACCTAAACAGATTGTAGATGTGGAGACTAATTAGGACTACATAAAGACTTTGAGGTATTATGGTGACTGTAGTAAGAATGGTAAATAAGAATGTGTTGTTTTTGGTGCAAGTATTGTGGTATGTTTGGATCAGTAATTGTGGCTAGCCAAGTTTAAGATAAGATATACTGAGACCAGACTTTCTTGGTCCCCCACTTTTGTCCTTTTGACACATTTTTTTGTATTACATAAAATAAATATTAATTTAGTTTCTGGTACCTTAACTTTACGAATTTAAGCCCAATACCAGATTGGTAGCGAAGTTTCATCATTTTACAGCTTAAATGTGTAGATGTAACCGTAAGTTCTACCGTAACTGTTTCTCTTCTCGCACTTTTCGCTTGTGGAACTCTCCTCCGGCTTCGTGTTTTCTAGTCAATATTGATTTTCAGAAATTGAAATACAGTGTTAATCGTTATATTCTGTCTTCCTAATAGCTGTTCTTTTATTGTCCTCTCTCCTTAATATTTTTCTCAGATTCGTCCCCACTCAATAGCCGCTTGATTTATTGCCTTGCCTGGGGTGAAAATTCTTAAAAGAATGCATTCTACTTTAAAATACCACCGTCAGCATTGATTCGTATTTCATTCACGTCCTGACAAAAATACTTATCTTCTTAAAGAAAGAAAATAAATGTCAAGAAATGAAGCCTAAGTAACTAAAGTGGGTATTGATAAGGAAACTCAAAACATTATATATGGTGATTAGATTTAAGTGTAAGAGACGCCAAAATAAACATTGTCAGATTTCATATGAAAGTCAATGTTATCGCAATAAAATTGGTATTAACAAACTAATGCTCGTCATTTTTTCTTTTTAAATATCAGAAAAAAGGATTTGACGAAAAGTAAAAGCTAAAACCAGAAACTTGGATTATTTAGGAAGAAAATATTTGCAAAGGTTGATAATACAAATGTTGATAGCGGGAAAAATGGCAGAGTATTAAGAACACTGGCTAAAGACACGATAACAACCAAAACATAACGTTTAAATAAACTTTACGATTATGTGAACATTTTTCGAAATTAATTGTTCGAAACAATTATTTGAAAAACATTTATTCGAATTGTAAAATGTTTGAATGAAAATTAATCGAAAGGCCAATTATCATCACTATCATCATCATCATCATCAGATCGATCCTGACTTGTTCCTTCCAACCATTTCTGTTAGACATCGCTGTCGGCAGGTCCTCCAGGTGGCATCCAGATTCATTTACAAGTTGGTCAATGTAGGTTTGATAAGGTCTTCCAACCGATCTTTAGCCATGCATGGGTTCCATAGGAGGGTGTTACTAGCAAGTTCGGACTTAGTTCTCCAGGAGGAATCAACTAGCCGAAGCTTTGTCTCTTTTAGCGAAACTGTGATAGGAAGGAGGTGCCCTTACAGGCAATTATACTAAATGATATTTTTTTCGAAATGCAAAATTCTTTATTGCAATAAAAATGTAAAAATTACAAGAAGAAATACATCATCAAAACACTTTCGATTTGAGGTCATGAATTAACATGCTTTCTCATCTTCATTGACATTGTATATTGATTCCCTAATATTTTGCCAGCCTCCTCTATCCTCTACGAGTTTGCGGATTCGTTTCAGATGGTCGTTGATTGTAAAATACTCCAAAGGAACAGTGGGATCTTTCTGCCTTGTTCTTTGAATGTCTCGGTTCAGTGTTGTGACTATAGTGATTCTTAGATGACATCTGAACTTCTTGAAGTCAGTCATTTCAAAGTAAAACTCTATGGATTTGTTAGCTGGGCATTCTGGATCCATTCGCAAAATATATCCAAGTTTCCATCTTTCTTAGTATGCAACGTCTTAAATAAGTAGTTACTGAGTAGCAGTAACTGGAGCACCCATTACCTACTCCGCCAAATAACTACTCCGTCAAATACACAAATGATAATTATTCAAAATACAAATATCGTTAATAAAACAATTTAGTAAGAAAAAATACTTATAACCTTAAGTTATATGATACTGCACGCAAATACTCAACTACTGAAGAGTACTAGTTAAAGGATGCCACTAATTACTTAAGTTTTCCATTTTCATCGCAGTATTTCTTCGGGCTCTTGATATTTTGGCAACCTGCTCTTACTTTTGCAATATGAATTTCTTGCAAGTGCTGTTCTCTTTTAAGAGCGTCTAAGAATTCCCATGCAGTTGGGATGATACTTGATGCAAAAAAACCTATACCATTCTTCAAGGGTGTTATTAGTTCTAGGCATTGACACTCTCAAAGCAAGGTTACATATTTCAATCATAGGTTTTTCGAATAATTATCCTTTAGTATAATTGTCCTTTCGATTAATTTTCATTCAAACAATTTACAATTCGAATAAAGGTTTTTTTGAATAATTACTTTCGAACAATTTTCTCGATACGAACTTTATAAAGAGAAGCAAGTCCGTTTGTCGAGGAAGTATTTGAAAACTGATTTGTCAGGAATAGTTTTCAGTGATATATGAAGAGCTACATTGGATGAACTTGATGAATGGAGAAACATTTGGATTCTTCATAGAATAGTGGTCCACTACTGAAGGCAGTAAAATTGTAGCTTTCTTCAAAGTTGATGATGACCTCAATATATATGCCACTAATTATTGTAAATTTTTGGACAAGACATTTTTACGAACGGTAGAGATGACAATAAAAATATTCTTAAACTAAAGAATATATTCAT